GCTACATTTGAAGGCCCTGTGTAGCAGGTGAGGGTGAAGGTGCGGGTAGTGCTGCCTTTCCCACAGCTCTAGGGTCTGCCTGGGCTGAGCCACTTTTGGGCCCTGAGAAAGCAAGCTTTGGGGTGTGTTCTCTCCTTCTCTGTGGCCTTCCGGGAGCACAATGGAGGGGATCTCTGAACCCCTATGCGTTGATGGGATTAGTGAGCAGGGAAAATAGAACTTGGAAGCAGGATTTTACAGCTCCTAAGGGGCTGCTTCTCACTCTGCAAACATATCCCTCCTTAAGGAATCCCCACATCCCACCATGATGCTTCCTCTGGAGGGGGCAGCAACCCTTCCAAGTGACTGCACCTTGCTTGGAAAGAGTACTTTCCACTCTCTGCACCACCCTGAATTTGCTCTCAAGACATTTGAGATCTCAACATAATCATTTTTAATCCACTTATGCATCTACTAATTTATTGGCAAATATACAAACATTTATTGGGCACCTGCTGTGTGCCAGAACCTGTGCTAACTCACTTCATTCAATGTTCATGGAAACCCTGTGGAGTGGCTGTGCTAGTACCCCATTTTACCACCCTATAGGGGTTGCATGGTATCCATGGTCATGTGACAACCACATATCAGGTTGGGATTCAAACCCAGGTGTATATGACACCCACAACTCATGTTTGCTCTGGTGGATGCTTACAAGGGAAACTGTGCAGGTGTCTGCCTATGGGGGCATGTAAATAAGTTTACAAGTAGCTGTTATCATCCCAACCAATTTTAGTACAGAAATTGAATACCAATATGCTCTTAATAAAACTCGAGTGACATGAGATGCCTGGGAGGCTCAGTCAGGTAAGCGTCTGACTTTTGGTTTCAGCTCAGGTCATGATCTCATGATTCATGGGGTCCAGCCCTGCACTGGGCTCTGCACTGACAGTATGTGGAGCTCTCCCTCTGTCTCTGCCCCTGCCCCACTCATGCTTTTCTCTCTCTCTCTCTCTCTCTTCTTGTCTCAAAATAAAGAAATAAACTTAAAAAAAACTCGAGTGACATACTTGCTTCTGGTATAGAATTTCCCATCTGTAAGCTGACCTGGAGTCCCCTCACCCCATCCTTCTCCCCCCTTACCTCTCCATTCTACCTCTTCAGTTCCATCTTGGTGATCTTCCACCTTGTTCATCATGCTTCATGCCCTGCCCTCCGCTAAGACTCTTTCCTACAAGGGCCTTTGCACATGCTGTTCCTTCACCCAGACTGCTTTCTTCTCCACTCTCCATTTGTCCAACCCCTGCTCCTCCTTCACATCTAGTGTTAAGGGTCAAAGACACCTTATTTACTCCTGCAACCTAAGTCCCACTCTCCTATTGTGCTGCAGTTCTCCTCCTAGCTCCTACTACTGTCTCTAAGTTAAATACAGTTTGGGAGCAATTTGTTTTATATGTACCTCCCCCATGTGAATGTAAGCTTCTTAAGGCAGGGCTTGTTAACATGACAATCACCAAACCAGGCACAGAGTACGTGCTCAATAAATATTTGCCAAAATAGTCCAACAAAGGGGTTAGAGCTGAGGAGGGGAGAAATGCCATTTCACTCATAAAATCAAATTCTGAGTTATCTAGAAGTATGACCCTGGCCTTCTTCCCCAGGCCCTACAAGTTGTGGGACATCATCAGCAACCATGTACCAGTTGCTGAGATTTGGAGTTCTCCCTCAGACCTGAATATCCAATAATGTGAACACAGAGTGAGACCATATAAGATGACCCACAGCCCCTGTTTCATAAGGTTTACTCTGATTCTAAATGCTGGGGAATTGTTCTTACAGCTGACTGATTTGTTTATGACCCTGGCATCTTTCTCGGAGTGAGGCTGTGGTTTCCCAGTTGTTTTGAGAATCTCAAGTTCAGATGAGTCCTATAAGCAGGGATGCTGATCTCCCACTGGACAGGGAATGAGGAGGATAGGGAGGAACTAGGACCCCACCTTATTAGTGCCCTGGGCTCCAAGATGCCCCAGTAAGGGTTTTTGGCTCTGAGTCTTAGAAATGTGTTTTGGTCTTCTTATATTCCTTAAGAAAAGCCCCCTCCTTTGGAGGAGGAAACGCTAAAGCAATAAGCCTTAAGTCAATTTGCTGGCTACTTGGAAGCAAGCCCTTTCGAAAAATGGAAGTCCAGTAGTAAGGACAAATTTGTAACGTATCACTCTCTCCTCTTGACCCCCAGCACAATTCATGTGTACCAGCTTTGCCTGCACACATCAAGTTTTTCCTTCATATGTGCCTCCTACTGAATTTGGTTTTCCGCTAGCCTACCAAACTCCTAAGGGCAACATTGCTCAAATGTGCTATCTCGGGAGGGCACTGTGCATAGTAGCCACACCCCAAAGCTGTCAACTTCATCCAGGATGGATGTTGAAATCTCCAACTTCATCTTCACAACTGTAACTATTCAGATGACAGCTAGGAAATTCAGCATTATCCAGATGTATAAAAATACATGAATATTTGATCAAACTCCATTCCCTTCCAACTTCTGTTTTATGAAAATTTTCAGAGCACTGCATATAAAACTTAGCCAGTGCCACCATGGGAGGAAAAGAGGCCCAGGAAAAGACAGTGTTTCTAATCTCCAACAGAAATAAGAATGGCTTAATACTGCATGAGACCTTGGTATGTGGAAATGATGGTTTGAATTTGAGTCACAGACTGAGACCCCTCATGACTGTTGTGTTTACATATCTCAGAGGGCAGATAATGCCAAACCATTCACAGGAAGGACACAAGCTGGGATTCTAGAGATGCCCCAAGAAGAACTGTTTCTTTAACTCATCCCAACAAATAATCCTATAATGTGTTTCAAAACACATAGGCACAAGTCCTGTGTATGAAGTTGTTATGGTTACAGAGAGAAACATAAATATTTGTGCACACAGACATAACATGAAGTCCTCCTACAGTGAAAACAATCTCCTCTGGAGAGATCTTTGAAGTCAGAGATGGTGCCTTGAGCAGATGGAACTAGTGATGGGGTGTGGAGCAGCCTTTAAATGCATGGCATGGAGTTTGCATTGTTTGTGAGCCCTGTTTAATGACAAAATGAGGCGGTTGGGGAAGCCTAGGTGAACAGAAACAAAACCCAAGAGCACACTGTTATTTGTTTATTTTCTACATGTGATGTCATAAGCAAGAGTTTTGCCTGTGTTCTAGTTTGTCTCCAATAAATAAATAACTATGTACAAATGTGCCGAGTTTACAAAATAGAGGAAAATCTTTGTATTACAAAAGATACACTCATAGATACATTTTCCCCAAACAGTGAAACATGATTTCGATTTCAGATTTCGATTTCGTTCCTAGCTTAGTTGAACCAACAACCCTGTGTAGCAATGTCTAAAGGTGTGTACCTAGTCTTTTCTATCAGAAAGCAAAGCTATAAATGGAAAATTCCTCAGTTTCTTGAGAATATAGGCCCTGACTTGGCCTGCTACTTATTACTGATCCACATTTAATGTATTCCAGAAAGTTGGAAGCTGTCTGAAACAGTTCTCAAACTATACTGGTCAGACCCCTGCAGATCTTGTTAAAATATAGATTCTCATGCAGCCCAAGTTTCTGCATTTCTAACCAACTGCCAGAGGCAGGCAGCTCCTAACTCTTGTCCAGTGACCATGTTCTAAGTGGCCAGGGTGAGAAGGTTTCTTGGAAGTCGGAGAAATTCTTAAGGGCTTGATCAAGGTGAGGTCCTAATTGAGCATCCTCCAGGCTCCATTTCCAAGCTCCCAAATTCCCCACCCCCACTCCCTACAAGGCCAGCAGAACTGGTTTTATTTTGGAGCACAAATTACTAGAAGAGTAAAACTCAAAATGGTAACTGGCATGAACTGTGCAGCTCATAACTTTCTTAAACTGTCTCGTGGGAGATCCTTCATTCCCTTCTCAATCTAGAGCTATCACGAGAGCATTTTCAACATTGTCAAAAATAACCAGTAACAAGAACAACAACAGCAATTGTAATAATGGGGAAAAGAAACGGCATAAGGAGCAATAAAGACCTTTTGGTTCAAATGAAAAGTGACAACAATAAAACCCAGGCTCACTGTTTAAAAAGTTAAAAACAAACAAACAAACAAACAAACAAACATCCCTTAGCTTGAATTTCTATGACAGTCCAGCAAACATTAGTTAAATGAGTGTCTCTCACATCTTAACTTTTGTTAAAATGATATTGTTCTGGAAGTCTGAAGTTTCAGGATAAATTAGCAAATCTGCTTCAAGACCAAATGGATTCCCAACCATCCTTGTTTGTAGTGTTTCTGTTTCTGTGTCACGGAGGAGTTTTGCTTAGGCAGACATGGAAGGGTAGAAGCAGGGTCTAGGGTGGGAGACTCCAGGTGGGTTGGCTGAGTTCCAGGTAGGGGAAATTTGGGAGAAAATGAATAGGGAACTGGGGCTTGGCTTTATCAAGGTGAGCCCACCAAAAAAACCTACCAAGATAGTTTTACCGCCACCTGAAGAGTGGAAGTACATAAATATACAAAAAGGGAAGGGGGAAGCAAGGAAGGGAGAAAGAGCAGAAGGGATATAAAGTGGGTATTGGACACATACAGGTAGGGAAAAATGCAAAAGCAAAAAATAACAAAATAACAAAACCATCCTAAATACTTAAAAAATAAATATCTTCGTCATTACTGACACCTCGATTACACTCACTAGTCCACAGGATCACAGTCTGCCCCAAAGACTGCCAACCAACAACGCTCACCCCTCCTGTGCCCCTTGGCGAGGGCATGGGACACTCTATAGTCTGTGCCTTCATTATAGTCTGTGTCTTCATTGCCATCTCTGCCCAGTTGTCCAATGACGTGTGGAAGTGGCTGGGGCGCAGACTCCTTCCAACCCCCACCCCTCCCCAGCAGTGTGCAGAATCAGCAAAAGGGGCGGGGAGGGTATTCTCCAGTTCCCATGCCAGTTAAAGTGCTTTGGGTTAGGTGGCCAAGGAGTAAGGCTGGGGAGGGGAGGGAGGGAAGGCCTAGCCAACACCAGGGTCCAGGGAGGCAGGCCCTCAGAGCTTCTGGGGCGTCTGCTCGGTTCGCACTTGCTGCAGCACCACCTCCTTGGCTGGGGACCCACACTTGTACTCCAGCTCCGCCCGCGTGGTGCCTTGCTTCTTGCGCAGGTGGCACAAGAGCGCCAAAAGAGCTACAACCAGAGATAGGCTGGCGATGGAGATGCCGATGAGCACTCCAGAATGCAGGGGCCCTACCGGCGAGGGGATGGAGGTGGTGCTAGGAGTCGGGCTGACCGGGGGCTCCCCAGAGCCACTGTCACTGTCACTGTCACTGTCATTGTCACCGTTTATCTTGGGGTCACAGTCAGTGGCAACCTGGCCGGCAAAGGGCGAGTCAGGCCCGCAGATGCACTCGTACGTGCCAGGGAGGTTGCGGCACGCATCGGGGCAGTCTCCATTCTCACACTCATCGATGTCCGTGCAAATGTAGCCATCGTCCAGGATGTAGCCATCAGGGCACTGGCAGGAATCCGGGTTGTTGGGGTCGCAGTCAGCTGGGCATGTAGTCTGGTTGCAGAACATCTGGCACCTGTGCGGGGCCTGAGGGCTAGGTACGAAGCCCTCAGCGCAGATGCAGCGATAGTCATTTTGGCCCACGGACTGGCACTGGTACTCGCAGTTACTCCCGAAGCACGGGTCCACGGGCTCCACGCATTCGCCGTCCACCATGTCGTAGCCCGGGTAGCAGTGGCAAGTGAAGGCGCCCTGCGTATTAACACAGAGCTGCGGGCAGGGACTGGGCATCTGGATACAGTCGTCCACGTCCTCGCACCGGTGCTGGTCTGCAGCCAGCTGGTAGCCGGTCTCACACATGCACGAGTAGGAACCAGGCACGTCCGGGCTGGGAATGCAGAAATGCTCGCAGAGTTCGTAGCAGGACTGCTCCTCAGGCGCGGCGGCGCAGGAGCGCCCGTCCGCCTGCAGGGCGGCGTCAGCTGGGCAGAGGCAGTGCGACGTCCCGGCGCTCCCGTTGCAAGTGTGCTCGCAGCCGCCGTTCTCCACGCTGCATTCCCAGGCGCCAGGCGCTTCCCGGCCCCAGCGCGCCTCGGCCTCTCCCCGCGGCGCCACGCACTCCAGCTCCACTCCGAAGGGCTCTACAGCGGCGGAGCTACCCACCGGCAGCGCCTGGAAGTCAGCGCCAAGGGCCCGGAACGGGGTGCTATAGGTGATCGCTACACCGGCGGCCGCCACCGCGCCAGAGTCCACGAGCAGGGGCCTGCAGGAGGCTGCGAAGTGGAACTCGCAGAAGAAACCGTCGGCCTCCGCGTCGCATTGCTGCTCCTCCCAGGCCGGCTCGCCGGATGCTAGGGCCCCGGCCTCGGAGACTGCGACGCACAGGGGACCGCAGAGAGGCGCCCTGTCGACGTGGAGCCGCGCCCACCTGCTGTAGCTGGTGCGGTTGTCTCCCGTAACCCACTGGAAGCCGCGCAAGGGCCCGAGTTGCTCGGGGTCGTCGCAGCCGTGCTGGAGCTGCAAGCCGATCCAGAGGCGCGGGCTGTCGCCGCTGTCGCCGCTCAGTAGCAGGGAAATGACATCAGCCGCCACTGAGGAACGCACGGTCATCAGGTGGCCCCCCAGCTGCTCGCAGGCCTGGCTGGCGGCGGGGAAGGTCGCGGGGCCGGGGAAGAGCGCGAAGCAGTCGTGCTCCACGCACTGGCTGCCGCGTGGCTGCGGCCCTGGAGGTGAGGAGAGCCCCAGGCCAGCGGGGGCCAGAACACCGAGGAGCAGGACCCGAAGCATGCTGTCCCGGCACTCCTTGTGCAGGCGCCGGGGAGAGCGCAACCGCCGCGACGGGGCCCAAGTCGGATCCGGGCTGAGAGGCGCAGGGCGCTGCTGGCGACAGCCGCTTACGTTGGTCCCAGCCCAGAGGCGTCCAGCCGCGGCGCGCAGCCCTGCAGAGGCAGCCTCTGACATGCCGGGGGGCCGGGGCCCGGGTTTATAAGTGCGCGGCCCTCCCTCCTGAACGTTCGGGAAAAGGAAGGAAGTGCCTAGTGGGAAGGGCTGATGCTGCATTCTCGGATTACTGGGTTCTTCGGGAGACTTGTGCCCGCCCTCGCTCCTGGGATCACCTCGCGGAGATGAGTAAACCCGGCGGGGGAGCTGGGAGGTCCCCGGACTGGACCGCCAGGCGCAGGCGCCACGGGAAGACAGCACCTCTGTCAGCTACACTCATTGTCCGCCCCCGCCACTAGGGCCCTCAGGCTCGCAGTTCTG